CACACACACACACACACACACACACACGCTCTGGTTCCCTGATGACGCACGGACCAGAGAACAAGGCACTTTCTTGGGGAACCAAGAACCCCTCTCTGGCTGGCTTGCACTCTCTCTCTCTCCCTCTTCCCCTCTCACTCCCTCCCCTTCTGCCTCCCAACATCCTGTTTATGCCCAGAGCTCTCTCCATTCCCCTAAGGGCTAAGCTTTTGGAAACCAAAGCCTGGAAGACACTTTTTTTTGCCCTCCACCCTTCACACCCTTCCCTCAGAAGAAAGGGCAAACAGACCCTCTGAAAAGGCAAAAGAAAGAGGAAAAAATTGTTAATGCTTCCACAGTAATGTCCGGCCACAGTATTCCCCTGTGCAGCGATGGCCTCAGATGACTTCGTCCCAGTAACACTACCCATTTGTGCCACACGGCCTCTCAGGGCCACTCTCTGGGGACAGAAGAGAATCTGACAGCCCTGGCCTGGAAAACACCCGCCCTGGCCTGGAAAACACCCGCCCTGTCATTCAGCCACCCAGCCATTCACCCAAGTGTCCACATGTCTTGATTGAAGGGCCCTGTTAGGCACCCCAGCTCCCCCTTGGGAGTGGAGAGGACCACTTGGGGCAGTACAGTGAGAGCGTGGGGACCTCTGCCACCCTGGGGTCAGGCACAGCCTCTCCCTGAGCGCTGCTCCTGGCACTTGGGTTGAAATTCCAAATGCATTTCTCTTTTCTCTGGAGAGGCTGTGAGAGCGGGGGCTGGGCCTGACTCACAAAGCCCTCACCCTGTAACAAGTACAGCAAAACCTCCCGATGAAGGGCCGGCATTCCAGTTTGTGCCAGGAAGACCTGCTGTGATTTTTCTCTGGGTTTCCACTTCTACCTAGGACCTTGTCTGGTTGGTACCCAGTGATCATGAGTGTCCAGGGCAGGGCTGGTGATGGGAGGGCGGACAACCCTGCTGCCACGCGCATAATTTCACTGAAGTTGTGTCGGGAAACCCTGGGCAGGGTCAAAGGGACAGAGAGAAGGAAGCAGGCTCCCTCAAGTGACCCAGGAGCAAACACTTGGTTTGCATGAGCTGCAGGAAGCAAAGGGCTCATGGAAGCTCTGTGTAGCATCTGTCCCCCCCGACACCCCACACACACACACACACACATGCACGCACTCCACCCTTAGGTGCAGGTCTGCAGCTTCCACTTTGCCACAGTTTATATGGACCTTTTCTTCCAGACCCACCCGATCTGCACCCCAAAGAGGAAGCTGCACTTCCCACACTTGCTGTTTCACTCGGACATGCTCTCAGCACCCCTGGGAGCGGGCAGGTGTTCTGCAAAGTGAGGGGCTATGACTATCTGGGGTCATTGACAGAGACATGCTCCGTGGCCACAGCGCCCAGCCTAGCACACAAGTCCAGCGAGCGGGCAGTTGGCACGTATTTATAGAAGAAATGAATCATGGACTGTCGATGACTTTATGGATGTGGACGTGACCTGTTGAAGTCAGCTGTGCCTCTTGGGGCCATTTCTGCCTGAGGGAAAATTTCTGCTACAGCCAGCCTCTAAACCCCTACACGCTGGGGGAAGCAGTGGGGCTCCCAACCAGGGGGCCTGCGAAGTCAGAAGGGGGAAGGGATGGAGCCCCCACATCTGCCGTGTCCATGAGGCCTCACTGGACTTGTTTACCTTTGGGCTGCTGTGGGGGGACAATCCCCACCCCCTCCACCCCACCCCCACCCCGCTCCCTAAGCGGGGTCCTTGCTCCTTGGCCATCTGGGGATTAAAGTGCTGGCTGCGGAGCTAGGCTGCCTGGGTTCGTTTCACAGCTCGCCCACCCGACTCTGTGACTTCAGAAGAGTTAAGCTCTGGGTTAAACAGTTTCTTTGTGTGTAAACTAGGAATAACGGTAGTGACAACGTCTTAGGGTAGTTGTGTGGATTCAATACACATTCCAAACGCTTGGTTAAGACGAGCTATTTTATTGCAGTGACTTCCCTTGATTCTAGTTCGACCCACAGGGAAGAGTACTAGCAGTGTCACCAGTGTCACTGAACGAGAGAATCCAAGCGCACATGCCCAGAGCCTCCCTCCAGGGTGACCGAAGCCCCTCCTTAGCTGTGGGACACCTCAGTGTCGTTATGCCTGAGCCACCCCACCCTTCCACAAGGAAACGATGCCACGCAGCCCCGGCTGATCTGCCCACTTGCCTGGCATTCACCAAGCTGCACAAACAGGCCGAGGGAGGTGGCAGAGCCGGGGGCTGGGGGGAGCTGGGGGGGCTGGAGCTGGGGTTGCACTCTTGAGAGCAGGCCTGAGAATGAGTTTGGGAGGGGGGCCGAGACAGGGGACAGCTGTGGTGGTCGAGGATTGTTCCAAGGAACCTGAGAGGCAGGGTGTTCCCTCCTGGAAGAATGGGGGGTCGGGAGGGTACGGACAGATACAGGCACACGTCGTCTTATTATGCGTCGTTTTATTGGGCTTCACAGGTGTTGCATTTTTTACAAATCGAAGGCAAAACCCTAGACCATCCAAAAGATTACAACTCACTTGACTGTGGTGGAGACGGAGGGAAGGAAATGAGCTTTGCCCCAGGAGATGGCGTGATGGGTCAAGAAGGCCAGAGAGACAGGTAATGTCACAGGTAATTTTACGTGTCAACCTGACTGGGCCACAGGGTGTCTAGATGTTTGATTAAATGTTATTCTGGGGTGTTTGTACAGGTGTTTCTGAATGATATTACCATTTAAATAGGGAAGCTGAATAAAGCAGACTGCCCTCCCCAGGATGGGTGGGCCTCATCCAGTCAGTTGAGGGACTCAGCAGAATTAATTCGTTCCCACTGCCTGACTGTTTTAGAGCTGGGACATCGTCCTCTGTATGCGGACTGGAACTTACACCCTTAGCTCTCCTGGGTCTCCTGCCTGCAGGTGGCAGATTCTGGGACTCCTTAGCCTCCATAATCACATAAGCCAATTCCTGAAAAGAAATTGATTGATGATAGATAGATAGATAGATAGATAGACAGATAACGCTTACTAGCTCCTGTTGATTCTGTTGTTTCTCTGGAGAACCCTAATACAGGTAACTAGTGGAAGGCCAAATAGAAGGCCGGTAGAATGTCTGTGGGGGGACAGGGTTCTGGCAGGAGCAGCAGGAAGGAGGCCAGGTAAGGCCACCGAGTGAGGTCAGCAAGAGGAATCTGATTGGCTGGCAGTGTGGCCTCCTCCCTGTGGACTTCCGGGTTTCATTTTTTCCAGTCCTCTGGGTGCTGAGCTGAGAGACCTCCGTGCACACACACCGAGGGCAGTCACAGTTAGAACGTCCCATGACAGGCAGGCCTCTTTTTGCAGGTAGGGGGCCTTGCCTTTACTTTGTAAAAAAATGCAACATCTGTGATGTGCCATAAAGCGAGGTATGCCTGTGGTTCCTGAGCCAGGAGCACCACAGGAGCTCTGAGAACAGAAATGCAGACACTCCGACATGGTGAAATCCCAGCTTGGCACACACACACATCTCAGAGGACACCGTGTTCTACACCGCTAGAGGACATGTAGATTTAAGGCCCGTCCACACTGCAGCATCAAGCAACAAGGCCAGGTAGAGGTGAGTGTGGGCCAGGTGGAGCAGAGAAAGCTGATTTGGTATGCAGCACACCTGCTGGGACAGGCTAGGAACTCGGTGTTGGAAGGAAGACCCGTTTGAGATGCTGGAGACAGGTGGTCACCATCCAGGGCCCAGTATGGAAGGGGTGGTCCCACTGATGAGTGACAAGAACGTGATATCTTCAGAGCTCCGGGCAGGGGTTGACATGTGGCGGGTAACATCGCCCTGCCTGGCTCCTGTGCTGAGGTTTAGAGAAGAACCTGGGTCTAGAGGAAACGGTACTGGGCAGCTCCCAAGGCCTGGACTGGGGTCCAGAGGGACATGGCAGAGAGCGAGCCCCAACAACTGGGCCGTGTCCCTCCTCTGGGATCCTCTACTCCCCGGGCCTACTCACCTCCGTCAGCCCTATCGATAAGGAACTCCCAGGGGCCGGGGCCATCCCTGAATTCTCTTTGTGCCCCTGGTGACTGGCAGAGTGCTTGGCACAAAGCAGTGCTCAGTAAACGTGTCCTGAACGAACAGGGGACTTGATGTGGGGTCCCCTGCATGGTGGGCCTGAGCTCCTTGCTGAGAACATGCCTGGCCCTGAGCCTGGACTAGGGCTGCCCGGCCGTGAGGTGTGGGGCTGAGAACCAGGCGGGTGCCAGGATTCGCCGTTCTCTGGAAGGGTGGTTATTGTTGCAGGTTTTAGAGGGGCAAGGACACAAGACATACATTCATTTTTGTTTAATCAAAAATTAGAAAAAAACCTAACACTTGTGTTTATGGGGCTCAGCAAATGAGTGTGGCTGGCTTGCTTCAGTGTCTGATTCAGTGCAAGTTGTCTTTCTCAGGGAGCGATTTTCACCCAAACTTTGCCCCCCAGAGGAGCCATGTCCCTTGTCAGCTTCAAGGCAAAGCCCAAGGCCCTGGAGGCTTCCTCTGTCGCCTGGCCAGGAACATGGTCTGGGGCCTGCAGGGCCTTCTGCGGACAGGGACGATTGTATCGTAGAGCCCGGTACAAACAGGATCACTGTTACAATCTCTGTCCCCATATCCCAGCCCACTGGCCATTCAGATGACAAAGCAGTGGCTCCGTAACCCGAGCTCTAACTGCACCCGTTCACATTTGCTAGGAGATTTAATCCTGGGCCTCTGCAACCTTTTCTTTTGGATCTTGTTGACTACTGCCTTTTTGCCCTAAAAACAGATGTTTCCTTAGGCGAGGACTTGTTAGAGAGGAGTAAGAGAGATGACATGTACTAGGAAGGCGTGGCAGAGGTGGGCTACCTGCTCCTTAAACCTGTCTCTCCTCGTTCTTGGGAGAACTTTGGCCACATGTTCCCGCCTCTTTTGCTGTTAGGTGTGGCCTTGTGGTTGCGTTTTAGCCAGAGAAATGGGAGTGGGAGTGATGCAGGTCACTCCCAGGACAGACGCTGGGCTCCTCCCCCGTGGTCCTCCACGAACACCACGCAACACACACAGTTGAACCCTGTGCAACCCGGGGCTTAGGGGTGCCGACCCGCTGTGCCATTTTAAATCCACGTATAACTTTTGACTCCCCCCAGAGGATGACTGCCAATAGCCTACTGTCGACAGGAAGCCACACCAATAACATAAGCAGTCGATTAACAGATATTTTGTATGTTCGATGTGTTTTATACCGTATTCTTACGATCACAGAAGGTAGAGAAAAGCAAGTGTTATGAAGAAAATCATATGAAAGACAAAATACATTTAGAGTATTTATTGAAAAAAAAAACCGGATTTAAAGGGAACTGCCCAGTTCAAACCCGTGTCGTTCAAGGGTCAACTGTTACCTCCCGACCAGGATCATCCAAAGAGGCTGTGGTGCCACTCAGTGTGATCAGGCCAGGGATCAATGGGAACTTGGAGGTGTCAGAGGTGGAGAGGAGGCTGTTGGGTACTGGGATGGCAACTGTGGAGAGCCTTCGAGCACGGAGGCTGAAAGAGCCAGGAATAGAGCTGCCATCCTCTGTTTGGACTCCATCCAAAAAGGTAAGGGGACGCCAGCCAAGCAAGGCAGCCCCAGAAGCCACATTTGGCAGGAGCAGAGGAGCCTCTGATTGTTGGTGGCTCTTTATCTCACACAGCAGTCTGCTCCGTAACAGTTAGCTGTGGGAATAGTCACAGGTCCCCCTGGGCCCCGGGAGGCCCTGAAAAACATGACCCTGTCATGGGAACACACAGGAGCAAAAAGCCTGCCGTCCCTCATACAATACACTTGCTCTGACTTTTCTCTTATCCTTAGCTGTATTGAATTAGCTGGAGATTTACAATGATCTGTTCAGAATATTATGAGTTGTTCCTGAAATAGAAGTACTAGAAGTTCCCATGATAGAAACTGGATGTAATTTTTCCATAGAAACAATATAATAGGATAATTCTAGCCAAGAACGGTTATACTATTTATAGAAAGGATCAGAAATTGTGTAGTAACCAGCATGTCCATGACAAAAGATAGCCACCCTGACACAGTGTAAAGCTTTGTGAGGTGTCTGTAAATCAGTCAGATAGGACAATGCAGTAACCAGTCTCATTAAATCTCCCAAAAAAAAATGTCTGTGAGAGGCTCCCTGGGGCCAGGGACCAGAGAGCCCCTCTGGCTGGGGGCCGCATCCAGGCACTGCAGCAGGTTGGCAGGTATTGTGAGAGCAACACATCTAGGTCATGGTCATATCAGTCTGAGGTTGGCCGGAGACCACAGCTGTCAGGGTTCTGGGCACCTTTATGAAACATTCTACTCTCATCAAAGGGCTTTAGAACACTGAGTCACCCAGTGGTCAGCTGGGCCCCTAAGCACAGATGACATTCTTCACGTTCTCTGGGCCTGGATGTGGGTGGCGGCTGAGCCTGGGCCTCACCGGAGGACAAATCCTGGAGTTTTGTGCCCCTGGAATCACAGGAGGCCAAACTCAGAGGCCTAAGGCCATTGTTAAATCCCCTCTCCCCTTACCAGCCTTTCCACACAATATTGTCTTCATAAAACTGAAAAAAAACACAAACCAGGACCCTTGTGAAGAAAGAAAATCCAAACGACATCAACTTGGAGAAAAGAGACATGAGGCTGCTCGTCTCTCTCTGCTGTAGTCCCCCTTTTCCACCAAACTCCAGTGGGACGTCCGTGGGCTTTATGCTTCTCACCCCCATACCAGTGGATTTTGCCATGAAGCTCAGCGGGCGATCGTCAGGTACGAGCAGCCTGTGGCTTTCATGGAACAAAGCTACACCTCCGCCGTCCCCACCGTCACAGTGTCAGCCTCGGGCCTCATCCAACTGCACCATCTTCAGAGAGAAGAAAACAACATGAGACTCATCGATTCAGGTTCACCACACGGCTTTCCTCAGCCCTTCTAGAACACGGTGATGACAGCAGTGTGATGTATGCGGGGCATGAATAGTAAATCCTGTGAGAAGGCACCAGCCATGATCTGTGGGTCTGTTGTTAAATTTCTATCCAAATGATGATAACTATATATGTATAATGCATCAAGCTGCTTTACAAGGAAATCTTGATTTCTGTTGGACCCAATTTCCCCATATATCGGCCAGTGGGCTCGTGTGATATGCTTGACTAGAAGGAGGCTCGTTTGACAACTGCTCAGCCAAGCCAAGGAACCATTGCTGCACGCCCAGGGGGCTCTCCAACCAGATGAGGAGGAGACGGGGCCCTTTTCCACGAGGCTGGTAACTGTCGAGATGGAGTCAGACATTTTCACTGTAGTTTCCTGCTCACGCCTGTAGGCGTTTTGGAAACCTGGGGTGGGGGAGGGGGGAGGTGAAAGCCTGGGAAGCTCATCGCCATGCCCTCCCCACCCCTCCCAGACTGAACAGAGTGACAAACACATTGTCCTTTGGTTGTGATAGAGTAAGATCGAGGGCTGTCACCAGGTTGGGGGCTGCAACATAACCCCCAGGAGATGCATCAGAAATGCTGCAGGCAGCTCCCCAGGAGGTTCCAGGGTTCACGGCCTCTGGGAGGACAGGCACACGTACTGTATGAAGATGGGGGTGAGTGTGAGAGGTCGTAACGGGGCTGCAGGCAAGTGTTTTCCATGCACACAGTTCTCCTGTGCTGTCTGTCCTAGGAATCCCCAAGTCGGCCTTTCTGTACCGACTAGTAGTTGAAATGAGAGGAAGGAAGGAAGTGGACTGCCAGGGGGATAAGAGGAGAGGAGAAATTAGGCATCTGACCTGGATTCCGACTGATTTTAGGCCCCTTTGAAGGCCACGTTCCTTTGATTCTTAAAAGCACAAATTACAGCTGCTCTCAAAATGGCGTTTTCTTTAGCCTTTGCCCCCCACCCCACCCCCAAGGCTTCTCACCTTCGCATTGTCCACATATGGCTTCTTGCCCCAGCCCTGCTCTTCCAGGATGACAGAAGAGCCAGAAGAGATTGGGGGTGTTGGGGAGAGGGGACAGGGCCGGCCATGCCATCAGGCCAGGGAATCAGAAGTCATCCTGCCGAGATTGGCACCCCCACCCCACCTCTGACCCTCCACAGTACAGAAAACCTCAGGTTAGAGCAGCACATGTATGTTGAACCAGAGAGACTTCAGGGCATCTCAACCCGAGACAGCGTCAGGCCTGCGGAAGGGTCCGTCCATGTCAGGAGAGCGTGGCAGAGGAAACCGTGAGCTTTGAGAAGGTACTTTTCTGGGCAGGCACCTCCTCCTGGTCAACAGGTAGGTCCTCCTGGGGGAGGGACCAGCAATTCCTGCTTCTCCTGAGGTGCCTTGGCTTCAGCCACAGCAGGCGTGGTCCCTTGGGATGGACCTTGCAGGAGACTTTCCCCCTGTGGCTTTGGAAACTGACCCGAGTCCCTCATCTCAGTGGCCAAGGCGCCCCAGGCTCCAAGCCACAGTGACACTGAGGGCCGGCATGTGGGTCCTGGGCATTGTGACCTCAGCTGTTCTGCACGCAGAGAGGTGGTCACCCAGCCCTCCCCTTGGCCTGTAATCTGCATAGGACAGTGGCCTGGTCACGGAGGCCCGTCGTGGGAAGGCTGAGAAGCTGAGAACACTCTGGCCTTCTCCATCATGTCGGCCAAGAGGGCAGAACTGAAGAAAACAAACCTGGTAAAGGAGAAGCGTGGGGCCTCTGAGCTCCCACTGGAGATGCAGGGGTGGGGTGGGGGGATGCAGAGAAAGCCCCGATGAGTTCTTGGTTTTTCTCTCTCTGTTCTGAGCATCAAGTGGCCTCTCAGGCTGGAAGGAGGGTGGGATTGATCCCTGGCTTTGGCATTGGAAGAAGACAGGCCTCTATGACTTCCTCTGGGATAAGGAACCCCACCCCACCTCACACCCAAGCACTCCCAGAGCCCTGAGATCATGTCAGCTTGCTCCAGGCCTGCATCTAATGGGTGTGTCTAAAAACCTTGCAGTTATCACCCCCATTGCACAGATGAGGAAATGGAGGCTCAGAGAGACTACATAACTGGCCCAAGTTGACACAGCTAATAGGAGGACGGCTGTGCCCCTGAAGCAATACTTTTATCTTCAAGTGCTTCCCTGCCCAGGTGCCCCCAGCAGAGAGAGGGCTGCCTGTGGGTGTTACAAGAGATGTACAATAACATGACAGAATCTGAGTCATCTCGGATCAGGTGCTGGGGAATATGCAGGCCTGAGCTCAAACACAGGTGGACAGGCCGGGCCGGGCGGGGGTCCTCCTGCAAGGGCCAGGTGTTAGCCTCCCCAGTCCTGACGCCCGGCAGGCTGACTCCCAACCGCCTCTCTCTGCAGAGCAAGAACTACAAGGCAGTTTGCCTGGAATTGAAGCCAGAGCCCATCAGAGTAAGCAGCTATTTTGAGACCGGGATGGCAGCCGGGCCTGGGACTCCTAGGGAGGTGACTTGGAGTCAGGGGTCATTCGCTGTCGCTGGTGGCAGAGACCTGTCCCAGGTGCTGGGGGGTACATTGAGAGACAGACAGGCCGTCTGTTCTCATAGAACTTCACAGTAGTAACTAATCAGACACATACATGATAAGTAAGGAAAACTTCGATAGTGTTAGCTGCCATGCAGAGAATTGAAACAGGGAGACATTGACTGGGTGGCCGTGGTCAGGAAAGGCCTTCATCTGACTGAGAGCTGGAGGACGGACTCAGGCCGCTCAGAGGTGGCGGAAGCAGCGTGTGCCGAGGCCCTGAGGCGGGAATGAGCCTGGCTGTTCAGGGCACCGGGAGCTGAGGCCCAGTGGGCCAGGAGGGGAGCAGAATGAGATGAGCTCCGCGAGGAGAGAAGGCTGGAGGGAACCACTGTGTAGGTGTGGCCGCCAGCTCTCCGCTGTCTGTCCTGGCCTCAAGGGAAGACCAGGAACTCGGGGTGATGTCTCCTGCCGTATGCACCCCACACCGGCAGTTCCCAATACTTTGTGTTTCTGGTTTCAATCCACAGACATATGACTACAAACGGGTTAAACCAGAAGGGCCATTTCCCAAACCAGGAGGGACACGGGAGCTAAAGGTGGGTGTGCGAACCCAGGCGGCCGGGGGCTGGATCAGTCCTGGGAAGAGGTGAGGGGCCAGCTAAACAAGGTGCAC